CCTGTCTACAACTTTCCTTAGAATTAGAACAGATGCAAAAAAAGCTAGAGGGCAAAAATGGACTCCAGGCAAAGCATCTACTAGTTGCTGCTCAAACCACAGTGGCTCCACTTCCATATTCCAGCACAGAGCAGACACTGGATGAAGGCTGCTGGTAAACCATTAAGCTCCTTGGCTCTGGCTCCCTCCACCAAGCCCCTGTGCAGCCTCCTGTGCCCACAGCGGGAGAGAGGGCCTTCTGAGGCCACCACCTGGAGGGAGCGTGCCTCTTTTTCTGATGGATGCACTCGCTGCCCTGCCTTCCCATATGAGGGTACTTCAAAAAGTTCATGGAAAGATTTGTATTATCTTTCAATACAAACCTTTTGAAGTACCCTCATACTATAATATCATCTTTATTGACGTTTCCTCCCCAAAAGAGTAAAAGACTAGGGAGAATGAGAATTGAAGTCAGTCTACCAGAACCCTATAAAAGAACAGAACTGTGGTAGGGTACCCCTATCCCCCACTCCCTCTAGCCAATAAATTTCAGTGGAGTCCTGAGATTTTACCTTTCACTTAGCGTGAACCTCAGTAATGCATTTGAATCCCACGTCCCCCAGATGAGCTTCTAGGTGTGGGAAGAGTGATGGGAAACTGAGAGTGTCAGCCGGGGAGAGCTTGGGTTTCCACCCCAGTGTGGGGACAGAGCCTGAACACTGGAGAAGCCTAAGGCTTCTTAGAGAAAGGCAATGAGTCTATACACAGCGACTTCCTTCTGAGGTGCACACCTTCTGTCCTGTCCACTTTGTGTGGCTTGTCACCGGCACTAACACTAATGAGCAGCAACAGCAGGCTCTGTGGAACTGGCGAGGTAGCGAGTAGATTCTGTCATCAGGTTCTTAAAACACACATGCAGACAGTTAAAACGGAAATGAAACAGAAAAGGCCAAGATATCTTTGGGGATCATAGATCTTAAACAAATATACAAGCAGAAGAGAGCACCACTTCTGCAGTGGGTGACACAATTAAATGGCTGGAAATGCTACCTGTGTCAACTGTCAGAGCCTGGAGGCCAGTGAGAGGCTGTATGAGTCAGTGCAGGAGAAATGCGGCATTCTTTGGGAAAGAACTGGCCTGGACCACACCTGCTTTATAGGCAGTGGGAAATCCATTCTTTGACCCAACCCTTGCAGCCTGAACTCATCTCGGGCCAGAGATAGAACGACACGGCAATGTCCCCACTGACCCCTGCAAGTCTAGGGTGTCCTTTCCAGAACTGGCACCTGCTCACACATACCCTTAAGCTCCCCAAACACTTACGCTCTGCAGATGCTTTCAGGGGCCGCACACAATGAAAATGCTTCCTGGATAAAAGGTAGAGCTCTTTAAAAAGATGTGAGGCATGTTTCCTAGCTCCTGCCCACAGTACTTCAGTATACACAGGACAGCTATTCAAACCTGCTTCCACCCCAGCTCTGTAAGCTTACCTGTACTCGGCGACGCCCCCTGCGTGTTTCTTCATGGCCGTGTCAGAGCTCATCCCGTAGAAGAGCTTGAGCTTCTGTCCGTTCCTCTCGATCACTTCTCCAGCGCACTCAGTATGGCCCGAAAACATCCCTCCCAGCATGACAAAATCTGCTCCAGCTCCTAAACACCAATGGT